CCCATGGCGGGCAAGAAAACGGGCCGCGTAGGGGTACGGACGCGGGCGGGAGACGGCTCAACTGTTTCGCCTTAAGGAAACCGGCGGGACTGTCCGCTGGTGCGCCAGAAGACATGGGAGGGCGACAGGCTCTGGACTGTGACTGATTTTATAAAGCCGGGCTAGGTGGGGAGGAAAGTGGAATTTCAGTGCACATATTCTCAAGGTGACGGCTCGGTACGAGAGCTGTGTTTCTCCATCTTAAATGAGTTCAACCACGCGAACCAGGCCCTTGTGAGCTGATTTCATCCTGGACGGGTTTCGTTTGATCATGTAGCATTAGTATGGGTCGGGTTCAAACGATTTCTTAGCAATTGTCAGAACCTATCGTAAATGACCTCAGTTCATCCGTAGACCTCGACACCACCCCGGTGTTTGGGACAGTCACCATTACGGACTCGGACTCACTCTCTAACGACGCAGACCCTGGCTCATCCGGGTGGACCAAGACTCATGCGATGTGCAAGAGATATGACCGCGACAAGAGATATGACTCGAAAATGTCAGGAGTCTGACTCCGTCCCGGCCACAGGTGTGTGGACTTAGGCGCGTGCCCCGTGCTGGCTGTCCTCACCTGTGATTGGCTACCACACGGTGCGTCCTCGCTTGTGTTTGGCTGCGACATGATGGGTCCTCACCGCTGCGACACGATGGGTCCTCACCTGTGATTGGTTGCGCCACGGTGCGAGGACGCACCTGCCTCGCCAGCGGCGGCACGTTTAAGAAGCTCAGCAGCGCAAAGTACTTGCTATTTTGAAGCCTGTGACCCAGATGTGCTGTCAGGACACGCTAAACATAAACTTATGACGTACAAGATAGAGGAGGAAATATATTAGGGGAAAACCAGCGCATAAAATGAGATAAGATGCATACCAAAAAAGGCGGTGATATCCATGAAAAAGACAGCAGACTTCTCGCTGCCGGATAGTCTTGCAAGGTAGATGCCAGCGAGTACTCAAAACACCGGTAAGATTGTTTGTATTAAAACAAAAAATCCTACCGGTCTGGAGCGGATGGGATAGTGTACGCCCGGTCCGTATGGTAACGTTATTCCCCCGGTGTTATTCACAAGCATGCATCACCAATTTTTAACGAATTGTGAATATTTGTCATAACAGAACGATAACATGTCAAGTCCTAAGCCGTTATTGTATAAACTGAGTCGTAATACAGCAGCGTACATAATAAGCCAGCTTTCGCCACCACCCCTCCCCCGCATAGAAATTGCCATTGTTCTCAAGAGGTAATAGATATATTGACAAAACACCGCTGGTTAAAACTTCGGTGTTGTAGGTTCGAAAGGAAAAACACACAGGAAAAAATTAAAATCCAGAACACTTGACCCTCTTCTGTGTCCATTTCGCGTAAGCTTTCTGGTCGCTCCACTAACCTGGCCGCTATTTTTCCGGCATCATTGGATATACACAGACCCGCCACGGCCACGTGCAAGTTCACAGAGGTCACCCGCTGTCCGGAGGTCACACTGTGTACAAACAGGCAGCCGTTCGACGAGCCTGGGACAGAGGTCACGTGGTGTCAGAGGTCTCCAGCTGGCCGGAGGTCGCGCTGCGTACAGACCGGCAGCCGTTCGACGAGCCTGGGACAGGAGTCACGCGGTGTCAAAGGCCCCAGCTGAGCGGAGGTCACACTGTGCACAGACCGGCAGCTTTTCGACGAGCCCGGGACAGAGGTCGACACGCGGCCGTACGCCGAGCCTGGGACAGAGGTCATGTGATGTCACAGGTCATACTGCACATACAGAAGACCTTCAGCACGTCTGACCGGGGGGGGGGGGGCTGGGGGGAACGGCACATGGGCAAGTGGCAACGGCACGGCAAGTAGCAGCGGCACATAATGGTATTATATTTTGGAAGACAGGTTTTTGCCGAAAGAGCATATGGAAATTGATGTAAAAGGCCATACAAAACATGAAAGGTAGTGTAGCAGACAGCTGGCGAATGCATTTTCGGTATGATAAGTTTTGGTGAATATCTGCTGGAATGAAAGGAAGTTGTGCTGAGTTAGTCTGGGATATTGCAATTTTGCTATTTTTAATACAAGAACTCAAAATTCCATAAAACCAGAAATTGCAGGTCTTAAACGCTTATAGCCCTAAATCTAAAATAATATTTTATTTCGCCACCGGACTTCGTATGACACCTTGGTGTTCGTTACCATCGTAGGAGAAATCATCATGATCTTGAAAAAGTTCCAGGGAGCTGTATTGACCATTGTTCCTAACTACAGCATACACAACTATGCACAATCTCACGTAGTCCAACACCTTAGTGACGTAACCCCACAAACTGCACCCAACACGCCTAAGCCCCTGCGGCCCGGGTCAGGGGCTGACCTGAGATGACCAGTCCGGCGTCGGCCGTCATGCACACCGCCGTCACAGGAGCCACGTGGTCCCTGATCACCTGGCGGGTCTGACCTGAAACACCGGAGCTCAGGGTCAGCACAGGGTCAGGTCACCGGCCCCTCATCTGGAACACACCGTGCAGAGCCAGGACACTTAGTCGAGCATAGTTCTTCCTTGGCTGAAACCGAGGGCAGCCTGTTTTTTAACAGCAGGGTTCGGTTCCAACCCTGCTCTCACTGTACGGCCAAGGTAAGTAGCTTGATTACCGTCTGCTACCTCCTGAGTGTTGAGGTGGCAGACGTGACAGACTGACAAACATCTCAGTCTCGGCGAGTCCGACACATCCCTTCCCTTGACTGTGCGTCCCTGGCACACAGAACACGATATAGTGGCACAAAACCTAGCTGCCTGGCTCACAAAGCAAAGCGGACAGGCAAAGGGAGCACCAACGTATGACCTTTTTCCGGCGGCGTCTGCTATCCTATGTGAGCCTAATTTCTGAAACTTTCCCACGGTTGAACACTCATCACCCCAACAGCCGTCGTTACGCACCACCTCCCACACACAGGTGTGTCCCTCTCCTTGTCCCTAACCTCCTAAACTTGGCTGTTAACCCCAGCTTCCCACCACCAGCTCTCATATGAGGATCGCCTGTCAATTTAAGACTAGTACTTGTCCATGCCCATGTCCATGTCCATGTCCATGCCATTCATTCCCAGCCTGGATATCCCTGTCAGCCCCTCACCAGCGTCCCTCCCTTGCCCATGTCAGCTCCTCATCAGCGTCCTTCCCCTGCCCCTGTCAGCCCCTCACCGGCGTCCATTCTCTGTCCCTGTCAGCCTCTCACCAGCGTCCCTTCCCTACCCCTGTCAGACCCTCACCAGCGTCCATTCCCTGTACCTATCAGCTTCTCCCACTCCCTCACCAGTGTCCACGTCCCAGGCCATGACCAGACAGTCGTCGCCTCCAGAGGCGGCCGTGTGGCTGACATAGGCTGGGTAGGCGACGCAGGTCACCGCCGCCTCGTGCCCCACCAGCACCTGCCGAGGTCACCCCGTCAGCATGGCGTGACAGAAGAGGCACGGTCAACAGGAGCCGACACAAGATGGGAGGGAAGAAATCTGGACAGAAGTCAGCACAAGATGGAAGGGAGGACACTGCCAACAGAGACCAGCACAAGATGGGAGAGAAGACAATGCGAACAGGAGCCAGCACTAAATGGGAGAGAAGACACAGTCGACAGAGGCCAACACAAGATGGGCGGGAAGATATTGTCGATAGGAGCCAGTATAAGACAGGAGGAAAGACACCTAGACAGGAGACAGCGCAATATGGGAGAGAAGACATCATTAACTGGAGCCAGCACGACATGGGAGGAAAGAAAACTGGGCAGGACTCAGCACAAAATGAGGGAGAAAGCAGTGTCAACAGGAATCAGCACTAGATAAGAGGGAAGGCACCGTCAAAAGGAGCCAGCACAAGATGGGAGGGAATACATCGTTCACCGGAGCCAGCACAAGATGGGAGGGAAGACACCCTCAACAGGAGCCAACACAAGATGGGAGGGAAGACACCGTCAACAAGAGCCTGCACAAGATGGGCGGGAAGAACTGTGGACAGGAGCCAGCACAAGATCGGCGGGAAAACACTGTCAACAGGAACCAACACAAGATGGGCGGGAAGACACCGTCAACAAGAGCCAGCACAAGATGGGCGGGAAGACACCGTCAACAGGAGCCAGCACAAGATGGGCGGGAAGACAATGTCAGCATGAGCCAGCACAAGATGGGCGGGAAGACACTGTCAACAGGAGCCAGCACAAGATGTGCGGGAAGACACTGTCAACAGGAGCCAGGACAAGATGGGCGGGAAGACACTGTCAACAGGAGCCAGGACAAGGTGGGAGGGAAGACACCGTCAACAGGAGCCAGGACAAGAAGGGCGGGAAGGCACCGTCAACAGGAGCCAGGACAAGGTGGGCGGGAAGGCACCGTCAACAGGAGCCAGCACAAGGTGGGTGGGAAGGCACCGTCAACAGGAGCCAGGACAAGGTGGGAGGGAAGACACCGTCAACAGGAGCCAGGACAAGATGGGCGGGAAGACACCGTCAACAGGAGCCAGCACAAGATGGGCGGGAAGACACAGTCGACAGGAGTCAGCACAAGATGGGCAGGAAGACACCGTCAACAGGAGCCAGCACAAGGTCGGCGGGAAGACGCTGTCGACAGGAGCCGGCACAAGATGGGCGGAAAGGCACCGTCAGCACATGATGGGTTGGAATGTCTAGATCCAATGTAACAAGACGGTTGGCATAGCGCGCACACACATTTTTGTCGGCTGTGGTATCACGAAAACTGATGTCATGCCTGGCAATACATCGTATCAAGTACAAGGCAATCACTAGAGCGGCGGTGGGCAAAGGAGTGGGAGTGGATGGACGTGGCGCCGCTGAGTTCCCTTGAGAGTGTCGAAGCGACGCTTGACTCCCGGCTGCAGACGTCCCTGTGGATTTGGTTACCTCCATATTTGAAGGTGGAAGTATTGGCAACAGGGCTGGACTGCTGGGCCGGAGTTGGTCGCCAGGTGGGTGGCGCACAACGCACACAGATGCAGAGCGTGCTCGCAGACGTACTCTCAACGGTACCGATGCGGACAAGAAACGCATTCCTTATGGAAAGCTGGTGATTAACTTGAAAGGAATGACGGAAATCATTTTTTGTCTTTTCAAGTTAAGTCAACCAGTTAAAGTAAAATAGATTAAATAAAAACAAAATATCAATATAGAATATCAAATTAACGTAATGTAAGTTAAGCGCTTAAATTGATATCTTGAAGTATTACGAGCAAAGAGCAATGCTGAAACAAAACCGCTGAAGACCTCATTTAATGGCGCATTGCATCACGTAAGCTAGTAACGGAAAACGTTTCTTTATTTTTATTTTTTGCTACAAACTGACGCCAGATAACAGGGTTTTATCGCAAGAAGCGCAACAGGGTTTTATTGGAAGAATTTCCATCACGCAAGAAGCAAAGCAGCGTCGGCCTCATTTCGAAACTTGCCGTGCCACACCAGCGAAAATATGTCAGTCACTGATACTGTCGATACTGTTGCTCTACCGCCAGCGGGAGGTGACCATAATGACCAAAAAAAACAGTACATCTTTTCAGTCTCTTTATCTTCAGAATAATTTTGGCTACCTTTGAATTGAGTTCACCGCTCCGTACCGCCCCGTTAGGCATTGTCACATTTGCTACGTCATTTTATCACGTCACGCACCTGCGTAAGACGCCCCTCCGCGATGGTCCACACTTTGAGCGATGCGTCATTGGAGCCTGTGATGACGTGCAAGCTGTCGCTGCTGACGTCAAAGCAGCGTATGACGTCATTATGACTGATTGTGTTCTTGGTTTCGTTTTTATTCAGCGTCCAAACATACAGCCTGAAACAGATGGAATACACGTCAGTGCATAAGGAAGTGCGGCTAAACTTTAAATTGCAGTAACCAATTCCCGAAAAGTGGCACACAATCAACTCCTAAAATGATGCACTTCGTGATCCTGCAACAGCTTTACCAGTCATGTAACATGCACACAACAGCGGCGATAATACTAAAGTCAAGTCCAATCATGGCTTTCTTCTCACAATCACGATCCCAATGACGTCATAGGCCGTCAGAGCCCGAAACGCAGGATTCCGCATCCCAGCAGGGCGCCCCTTTGCCGGCACCCGGTCGCCGTGAGCTCACTGGTGGCCAGCGCTGTTGCCGGAGATGGCGTAGGTCTGGTCGGGAGTCACGCGGATCAACTCTCCGGGCCCCTGGCAGGTCAGCAGCACCACGCCCGTCTCCACCTGCCACAGCTGCGGCCGGAGGGTATGACGTCGGCGAGCGTAGGAGACGGTCACCAACGGCAGACCGCGATCTTGTTTGAATCCGCTTTGTGCCCCAGTCCAGGTAGTGTCCCACCGAGGTCAAGGGTCCCGACACAACAGTGCAAGCATAAACGTTGCGGCGGTTTAGTAGGGTTGAACGGTTTTGAGATGTACAATTGTGTAGTATATTTGAGAAGTAACATAATTATGCACTGCTGCACCGGTGAATACATTTTTAAGCCGGCATTGAACCTGGTCAAGTCTACCTCCCCCGCCCCCTGTCTAACTTTCGAGGTATCTAAAAGCGCCTTGAGATATCGCTGCGAAATTTTCAGTAATGCTCACTTAAAAATTATACACCTTTTGTAAAACTAACATCTGTAACATATATATATATATATATATATATATATATATATATATATATATATATATATATATAATTACATAGGAACTGAGGACCTTGATAAAAAGAAAAAAAAAACATTTGCGTTTTAAACTTGTCGTCATTAGGAGTCTTCATGCTAACTAAAGCCAACTTTCCACAAACTCGTGGCTATAAACACAGCCTTGAACCGTGGGATATCCTCATCATAAATCCTAAGGACTTTCAGATATCTCGGTTTAAGTAGCACCTGCTGGTCTAGCGAAAGTCAATTATTTTAACACAAGCACTAGGGCATTTTAGAACTAAATTTCTTATGAAGCACGGCAGAGTGACGACGCTGCGGCGTCACGTCCCGCCGTAGCGAATTACGTCACACCGCAGCGAGTGACGTCACGCCGCAGCGAGTGACATCACGCTGCATGAGTGACGTCACGCCACGGCGAGTGACTTACCATGAGCACGCCGCCCTTGTCCGCCGACAGAGTGCGCTTGCTGTCCGAGAGCACACATACGGACACCACCGGAGTCATGTGGTCCTGTCCACGGACACATCGCGTCAGTGACAGAGGCATGCCAGGAGCCAGGGGTGTAAATACACCAGGAGCCAGGGGTGTAGATATTCCGGGAACCAGGGGCGGAGATACGCCAGGAGCCAGGGGTGTAGATATGCCAGGAGCCAGGGGTGTAAACCGCCAAGAGCGAGCGGTGTAGATACGTCAAGAGCCAGGGGTGTAGATACGCCAGGAGCGAGCGGTGTAGATACGCAGGAGCCAGGGGTGCAGATACGCCAGAAGCGAGCAGTGTAGATACATCAGGAGCTAGGGGTGTACATACGGCAGGAACGATATATGTAGAATGATGTACGTAGACCAAGAACCCAGCATGTGGTTACGCTAGGGGCCGGAGTTGTAGATACGCCAGGAGCGAGCGATGTAAATACGCCAGGAGCCTGGGGTGTAGATACGCCGGGAGAGAGAGGTGTAGATTCGCCAGGAAAAGGCGAACCATCACCATATATTCGTGTCGTCTTGGAGAAATGAGTGGAGGATTTCCATTTAAGGTTCATGGAAAGCATCGTCGATGTAGCGAAGGAAAGATGAATGCTATATATAGTGATAGAGCTTTCTAAGGCTAGTGTAATGAAATTGGGAGGTCTTTCAGCAGCAGAGGCCTTTCAGCAGAGGTCTCTTCAGGCCTTTGATGTGATCAAGTGAAACCCCGTCAGAGAGCACCGAGTGACCGAATTTTTTTCTTTTTGTCTGCGACTGCATTGTCACACGTCTTCTAATGACGCCACCGAATGAGATGACGCCAAGAACTCCGAGAAAGCTCCCATTCAGCCTCTAGACGCACGTCGACGTAAATCTAATGACATCATAAGAACAGATGACGTCACACTCACTGTGAAGGCGGCCACCACCAGATTGAGCGTGAGTCCCCAGACGCGGATGGAAGTGTCTTGCGAGCCGCTGACGGCGTACAGACCGTTCGGCGCGAACTGCACACACGTCACCGGACCCGTGTGACCCTCCAAGGTCGCGTGAAGGTCACCGGATGGCGCCAGCCACACCTTCAGGTGCGAGTCGGAGGAGCCTAGAGACGAACACGAGGATGTGCTTTCAGTGGAAATGTGGTTACTGCAGCCGACGGTGCTTTCGTCACAACGGCTCTTTGGCTGATCTGCAGTTTAAATCAGTACAATAACTGAGTACAATCGTACAAGAGGTTGCCATAGTGGGATACAATCGTGGGAACTAAACTGACAATGCTACCCATATACAATACGGATGTACACGGTTTTCCCATTCCAGGAGTTTGAAAAATAAGCATACACTTCGTCGTCACAAGCAAAATCCTCTTCTCAATAGTCGGTAACATAGACAGGATAGTGGGTAGTGAGCAAACACACGTTAGTCTTCCTGTAGCGGGGGGGGGGGAGGGGGGGAGGGAGGAGGGCTAACAGTAGACAGGAGTCATCAATCAGTAGCCACCTATCTTAATACATCTCGATGCACAACTGCGCAGTCACGGGCTGCTTAAAACAAATTCAACGTGTCATCAGATCATCATCAGAGCATGATCATGCCCATAGTCCCAGACGTCTATTGATAACCAAGTTACGCATCGACGTCTGCCCTGTCTCGCCCACGGACCTCGAAACGCACTGCACTCTACGAAGAAGTCAACACGCTTTATATTGGGCTAACCATGCAAACAGATCGTAATACGGGTTCGGGCACACGAGCAACGAAACGATTCAAAGCGGCGGGTATCTTACCCGTAACGACCATAGTTTCGTCAGCTGATATGTCCACACAAGTGATGTCCGCTTGGTGCTCCACCGGGATCTTTTTCCGGTCCGACACGTAAACGCGCGGCTTCACTGTCAGAGGCTGTACGTGGGTCACTAGCACCCTGCTGGCACCTGGCGGCCGGCAGACGAACCTCGAGTTAGTCCAACGCCCAGCACTATGGCGCCTGATCATCAGATTTTGTCTTCACACACTCGTCTTACCACAACGCTTCGTTATAAGAGTTTGCATACTCACCGCTTCGACAAAACAAAAACAAAAAGCGGCATGGACCGCAACAGCTTCTGATCAGACAATGAATCATGGCCGACTTCCCCAGACCGTCTTGACACACTCTCAATCATCGACCAGAGCCGGGAACGAGTCGCGACGTTCGACACGTTTTAGATAGCTGCAGCTGCTCTGCCGCCAGGCGGGGCGCAGGGGAACAGCATACAACCCACAGACCGCCGTGTTAAGGAATGAATGACGTGCCGTTGAAGAGCAAAGACAACACACAAATGAATAACACCCACCCAAGAACCGTAAACTACATGATCGACACTGAAAAGTCACGTACACCATGATACACCAAGAAACCCACAGCTACGCTATCTCAGGTTTAATGTCACTGCGCTGGCCACCGCGACACATCACGTGACACCCGTGACACACCAGCCCTCCACCGACATTCGCAACACCGCGCTATCCGCCACGGCACATCACGTGACACGCCGTGACACAACAGCTAACTACCGGCCGGCACATCACGTGACACCCGTGACAGAGCAGCTCTCCACCGACCGACACATCACGTGACACCCGTGACAGACCAGCTCTCCACCGACCGACACATCACGTGACCCCCGTGACACTGACCGGCCGTGACGAGCAGGTGGCCCCGCGAGGCGAAGCGGGCCGCCAGCACGGCGCTGCCGTGGCGGGGAAGCGTGCGCAGCAGTCGGGCCGAAGCGATGTCGTATACGTACACCTTTGAGTCCCGGCAGCCGGCCACACCAGCTCACCGTCCTTCGACGACGCCAGAGACGTCACCTGAGGACAACAGCAGGGGCAGCTGAGCTTGGGTATGATGCCAGAGACGTCACCTGAGGACAGCAGGGCAGGGGCAGCTGAGCTTGGGTATGACGCCAGAGACGACACCTGAGGACAGCAGGGCAGAGGCAGCTGAGGTCGGGTGTGACGCCAGAGACGACACCTGAGGGCAGCAGGGCAGGGGCAGCTGAGCTTGGGTATGACGCCAGAGACGACACCTGAGGACAGCAGGGCAGAGGCAGCTGAGCTCGGGTATGACGCCAGAGACGACACCTGAGGACAGCAGGGCAGAGGCAGCTGAGCTCGGGTGTGACGCCAGAGACGACACCTGAGGACAGCAGGGCAGAGGCAGCTGAGGTCGGGTGTGACGCCAGAGACGACACCTGAGGACAGCAGGGCAGAGGCAGCTGAGCTCGGGTGTGACGTCAGAGACGACACCTGAGGGCAGCAGGGCAGGGGCAGCTGAGCTTGGGTGTGACGCCAGAGACGACACCTGAGGGCAGCAGGGCAGAGGCAGCTGAGCTCGGGTGTGACGTCAGAGACGACACCTGAGGACAGCAGGGCAGAGGCAGCTGAGGTCGGGTGTGACGCCAGAGACGACACCTGAGGGCAACAGCAGGGGCAGCTGAGCTCGGGTATGACGCCAGAGACGACACCTGAGGACAGCAGAGCAGAGGCAGCTGAACTTGGGCGTCACCTGAGACGACGCAAAAAAATCAAAGTCTTCTGGTTTAAAGATCTGGTTCTCGACGTAATGAATTCATATGCAGAAAAACGCTGCTCGCGATATACCGCAGGTAGGTTTTTATCGATTGTTAAGCGTAGGAGTGATTCCAGCCGTATCTACTTCGTTTCAATAGCTATCATCGAAAGATCCGGGTAAAAAGGTTAAACATACGCTTACACACCAGACCGGGCGTATCCAACCATAACATGGACGCGTGACGGCGGCCATTTTGTTTGACTGACCCCCAACAGCTGACGAGGTTCAGTACTTACCTGACTTTGATGATTGTGCAGCGAGTGCAGAGGACTGCCGGTGGTGAAGCTGTGGACGTACACCATCATGTCGAGGCAGGCCGTCAGCAGGAACATCTGGCAGCCAACAGGTCAGGTCAACCTGGACGCTGGGGCGACCGTTGGGCACACACCATGGCACATAGATCCGTGCTCCTGAGGAAGCATGCTTGCAAGGATGTTACACATTTGCATGGAATTTTGAACGAAAAAAATGTTGGATATCATTCGGTGCAGTTCACAGCCCGTCCTTTTTAAGACGTAACCCCCTCTAGTTTCTGAGTTGCATACCGGCGAAGATGTGCAGACTATTTCTTGCAGACTATTTCAAGGTCATCCAGGTATCCACGACGCCATAATAATGTTATTCGAATGAAATTACGCCTTGAGGAGCATATTTACTAAATAGAGATATCATGATATCTAGAGCAGTCTTTTACACCTGCTCGCTGCTTCTCGTGCTCGTTTCAATATCTTCAACTGTTAAACATTTCCTTGAATGTCGCCACGGTTGCCACGCTAAATGTTTAATGAAGCCCCGAACGATTTCACGTCGTGAAGTACCTGCCAGAATTACTCCATAGGTAAATCGTGAACCGGTTGCATTTCGTGGCGCCCTTGAAAAACCCAACAATGTAAACCATTTGCATGTAAAACGAGATCAGTTGTCGCATGTGTGGGGTATTGACAGAGAGGAGCGAATATCGTGGGACGGCTGAATGGCACGCTCTACACCAATGGTGGTAGGTGATCCTATCAACCGAGAGCTAAGCTGACGAGAGCGTAGAGGCCGGGAAATTGCTATCATTCAGCACAAGCGATGGAAAATGATGGCTGACATTTTCAGGGCCGCCATTAGAAACGGTATGGAGCGCCATTTTCTGGCGTCTAAATCAAGACGAAAAAGATTTTTTCCTCGTGGGTTCACCATGCTTGTTTGGATAATTGGAGTGCGACATTGTGCCCTCTCTCTCTCTCTCTCCCTCTCTCTCTCTCTCTCTCTCTCTCTCTCCCTCTCTCTCTCTCTCTCTCTCTCTCTCTCTCTCTCTCTCTCTCTCTCTCTCTCTCTCTCTCTCTCTCTCTCTCTCTCTCTCTCTCTCTCTCTCTCTCTCTCTCTCTCTCTCTCTCTCTCTCTCTCTCTCTCTCTCTCTCTCTCTCTCTCTCTCTCTCTCTCTCTCTCTCTCTCTCTCTCTCTCTCTCTCATTGCACATTTGCCGGCCTTTCTTGAAGTACGCACCCTAGATATACATCAGAGAAGCACGCAGCCAGTATTAGTGTGTGCCCTTCTCACCGTTCGACGTCAAGCCAAAAACCGTACTGTCCCTCACACTTCTGGTCACCGTCGCTCGTTACCTCATGCTGCACATGCAATATATGCGCATAAATAAGACGTTAATAATAGTTTTATTTCTCGGAGAGAAAAAAACAAGAGAATGGTGACATAGATGTGCTGATATTTGGACAACATGCCTTTGTGGAAACAATAGCAGAGGTGTCATTTACGTGAAAATCGCGGTCTGTGAAACTCCACCTCATGTGAAAATTGTACTTCTGCTATTGTTTGGAAAGACGACATGTTGCCGAAATACCAATACATCTTTATCTCCTTTCGCCTGGTTCCTCTCCGTGGAAAAAGGCTATTTCTATTATCTCATCTATGTCAATAATGTTCCTCGCAAATGCACTTAGCAACTTAAGTATGCAATGCAACTTAACTATGCAATGTGTTTGTGACATGGGTTGGCGCGTTATGGCGGAATGGTAGACGCGTCGGACCGCCACGTGGGGGCCCCACGGGGAATCCCGGTAGCGCCATGGCCCCTGGGCGCTGATGTAGTCAATGTAGTTGCTGGCGCTCCATGAAAGGGATGCGACGATGTGCGTCACGTCGCTTAAAAAAACATGTTTTTACGGGACACCATAATGTTGGCCGGCACACGAGCGACCCATGACGACAACTCATTGCACCGTCGAAAACGGACGTGACAGTAACTCACCGCACCGCCGAACACGGACGTGGCGGTAACTCACCGCACCGCCTGACACGGACATGACGGTAACTCATCGCACCGCCGAACACGGACATGACGGTAACTCACCGCACCGCCGGACACGGACATGACAGCAACTCACCGCACCGCCGAACACGGATAAGACGGTAACTCACCGCACCGCCGGACACGGACAAGACGGTAACTCACCGCACCGCCGGACACGGACATGACAGTAACTCACCGCACCGCCGAACACGGACATGACGGTAACTCACCACACCGCCCGACACGGACATATTGGTCTCACCGCGCCGCCAGACAAGGACATTACGGTAACTCACCGCACCGCCGGACACGGACATGACGGTAAATCACCGCACCGTCGGACACAGACATGACGGTAACTCACCGCACCGCCCGACACGGACATGACGGTAACTCACCGCACCGCCGGACACGGACATGTGGGTGACGGCCGCGGGCACGCTGATCTCGTTCAGCACCGTCAGCGACTCCAGACACCAGAGGATCACCGTCTTGTCGTGCGACCCTGCCGAGCGGACAGATGTCAGCTGGCTTAGACATGTCATGGTCGCTGTCTGGCTGCGCGACACTAGACACCCGCGGGGGAAGTCGGCGGCGCCAAAACTGAAGAACTTCTGTAAGACTTTGCTCGAGTGACAGCGTGCTGCGATCAGACCAATGGATAACGTGGCACATCCGTTTTGTATATAAGGATTAAATAGTACATCAGGGTACGAAAGAAATGCTGGTTTCACAAGCATGCCGCAGTTCACGGCACCGCGGGGGCAACGCGCTTCTCAGTGCCAGGCTAAACTCGGGCTTGGTCTCACCGCATCTGTCACACACTGACGAGACTAATCGCGTCTGTAGACCGAAACTGACAAGTGCCGCCGTTTACTCTGTGGAAATCCGGATGTGCAACGTAAGAATTACTGCTCCCCCCCCCCCCCCTTCCCTCACGAGGTTGCACGGTAGGACTAGCTTCTTTTCAATGCGCAAAGGGCGCTCTTAGACCTGCAATATTTCGTAAATTGTGTGTGCTGTTTGCTGTGCTTTTGCGTGCCGTTGGGCCGCGGTTCGTTTGTGCTCAGCATCGTTTGTGGCATATCTGCCGTTAGCTGTCGCACAGCACTCCACGAAGTCAAGTCTGTTCAATTTGGAACCCGCTTGCCGTCAACATGTTTTCCACGAAGTCGTGCTCGTCTGCTTGTTTGCACAAAGCACAGATTGACATAAATATTCATGCCAGCTACGATAAAAAAACAAGGCGCACGCTGGAAAGAAATAATTAGGTTTCTGAAGAGGTCTCTGAACGTCAGTATATGTGGCAGGCTTATTAATGTAAATGACCATCACGCCCGTAAAGTAACCATGTGATCACACAACGGGACCTTCCCCACAGCAAAGCTTCATATACAAGAGCACCGTGCCGCAGCATGGTCTTGAAAAGTCAACTTTCAGATGACGGTGGCCAGAGTCCAGATACCACTCGACGACAGAAATACACCACATGCGCAACTCCCCAAACAAGACACTGCGCACGTCGACCACACAGCTGTGGCTTGACTTGACCCCCTCCACCCCGTTGACCTCACACCGACCTGACGCCATGACCTCCGACTCGCTGTTGATCTCGATGCAGGTCACGGGGCCCCTATGCTGCGACAGTTGGCGTGGCTCACTGCTGACATCTGGCGGCAGAGAGCGCAAACACATTGATAATCCTTCACATAAGTGACATCAGTCACGTGAATACTAATAACCAGACGCTAAATTGCGACTCACCGAACTGTTTTCGTCGCTTATCACGTCAGTTGTGACGTCACGCCACATCATGCTGTCACATCACGTCATGTCAGCTGTGACGTCACGCCACGTCACTGTCACATGACGTCACGTCAGTTGTGACGTGACGTCGTCAAGCTGCGCACCGACAGCCAGACTTAAAGCTGTCACTCAGCACCCAAAACCCACATCACCATCGCCACGCGGCGGTGGGCGATGTCCTCCCCCTTGAGTTACGTCGTCCACAAATATGCACCTTCAGAGCTCAGCGCCAGCATGCTGTACGAGCCGCATCTTCAGGAAAATGATCGCGAGGCTCCATGCGTGCTCATCACCGCCGGTGTGTTGTTTTAGCGCTGAGCAGTTCCGTGCGGTTATAACTAAAATTGCCCCAACCTGCGCGACGATCAGTTCAGCTTTTCCTGAGCTCGGTTTCCCAGACGGACTACCGTGCGGAGACATTCTTCACAATGTTCTCTCTTTACATCACAGCTAGGGTCAAACTCCTGCGTACTTCATTCTAAGCGTGCTCGGCGCTCCTAATCCTCACCGTAAGCGTACCCGGTGCTCTGGTCCGTCACCGTAACGTTCTCAGTGTTACCAGCTCTCACCGTGACCGTGCTCGGTGCTCCTAGCCCCCTCCCCCCGAGAGCGTGCTCGGTGCTCCTGACTCTTACCATAGGCGCTATCGGTGCTCCTGACTCTCGCCGTGAGCGTGCTCGGTGCTCCTAGCCCTCCCCCCGAGAGCGTGCTCGGTGCTCCTGATCCTCACCATAAGCACTATCGGTGCTCCTGACTCTCACCGTGAGCGTGCTCGGTGCTCCTAGCCCCCCCCCCCCCCCGAGAGCGTGCTCGGTGCTCCTGATCTTCACCATAAGCACTACCGGTGCTCCTGACTCTCACCGTTAGCGTGCTCGGTGCTCCTAGCCCCCCCCCCCCCGAGAGCGTGCTCGGTGCTCCTGATCTTCACCATAAGCACTATCGGTGCTCCTGACTCTCACCGTTAGCGTGCTCGGTGCTCCTGAGCCGTGTCACGTACAGACAGCTGTCCTCCCCGCCGCTGACCACGATGTCTCCCCGGCTCGCCAGGCTGGCAGACGAGACGCACAGCACGGAGGCGATGTGCCGGCTGCGGCAGAGTGGCAGCGCCTGGTACGCATCCCTCGCTTTCTCGCAGTGATAGACACAGTTTGTTCACCGCGCGTCAGCGCGTGGGTTCGATGCTCACCTCTGGCATACATTTTCCCGATAAAAGCGGAAACATGCATCAAGGGGGCGATGTCGTTGAGATTCCAGGCATTTTAAAATGCTGAGCAGTGGTTTGTGTGGTTTGTGTGGTTTAATTGGTTTAACATGCCGGGACAAGCCAGCTCCCCTGGCAGAGCCTCATGGATGACAGGACGTGTTCGTGACACAAACGAAACTTAGCGCAGAAGCTGATTAAAAGAAAACCCGTACAAATAAACACACACAAGTTTACTCCATAAATACGACAGCCAGGACCGCCCATGTTTTGGGGAAAGGCGACTTTAAGGGAAGAGGGTGTAACATCGCAATGGCTTTGATCCTTGTTCTTATCTGGGACATGGCGTACCATAGTAGCTGCTACCAATCAAATATCAACTAGAATAATAAATAAAAATATAATATACCATAATACAAATAATAAAATAAACGTATAATATAATGATATAATGATATAAATGATATGATATATATATAAATGATATAAAATAAACGTATAATATAATAAACAAGATATAATGTACAAAAACATAATATAACAAAACTGTAATATAATATAACATAATACAAAATATAATAAAATATAGCTCGACAGTAAAAACATACAACGCTTACTCTAAGTCGAGCAGCAAAGGTACGAGTACATAACTATGACACTGAAGAGTGACAGCAGCACCAACGGCAACAACAACACCTACTCTATGGTGAATAGCGAGCGGAAGCTGGTGGCGCTCCAGATGATCACCTGACAATCTTCGGAGCCGGAGACCACGTGACGTCCGTCCGGCGACGGGTATACGCACGTGACGTCACCGGTGTGACCTGCCGAAGACGAGGCTGCCCCAGTGCGTGCGGCACGTGTGGGCTCGCGCCCCGAAGACCGCGCTCATGCTGCCGGTCTTTTGTAAGGGGTATGACACATGTCGTCACACGCCCTGTTATGGAGCGTCAGCGGTAGCAGAGGCCATTTAGCGCTCAGGGGCCATAGCGTAACTGCGGTTCGAGCCCGGTTTTCCATGTGGGGCCCAGCACACTAACCACTCGGCCATTACGCCCCTTTGTTGCTCGACCATGCTGGCCAGTGAGGCCCTGGTCAAGAAAGTGAGGCTAAAGCAGGGACAAATGTCTTCACGTGGCCTCACAGGTACAATCTGTCCCCAAAACGGTTTGTTGACCTGGACGTGATCCACTGGGATCTGCGTGACCAACTTAGTCAATGCAGTGTTTACGGAAACAAGTACCCGAACATGAGCCAGATCCCTGCCACGACTCCGACCCCGACTCTGACCCCGGCTCCGACTCCGGCTCCGACTCCGACTCCGACTCCGACCCCGACCCCGACCCCGACCCCGACCCCGACCTCGACCCCGGCCCCGACCCCTGACCCCGACCCTGACTCTGACCCCGGCCTCGACCCCTAACCCGACCCCTACTCTGACTGCGATTCCCTCCCCGACCTCGGTTTCTGATTCTGACCCCGACCCCGATCCCGACTATGACCCGACCTCTGACCCCAGTCTGACCTCTGAACGTGTGCACGGAGCGACAGCTGAGCAGATGCCACAGCTGGAATTCTCGGCCGCCGCAGCACACGTACACGTGGACGCCGTCCGCCGCCGGCGCGTACAGGTGCACCGACTCAGGCAGCGCGATGTCTGCCGGGCACGGTGGCGCAAGCGGTTAGGGCGCTGGCGTTCTAACCGGGAGGGCCCGGGTTCGGTTCACGCCCCAAGCTGGATCATGCGCCATTCCGGCTCTGGATCATTCCACGACGCGACGAACATGCGATGGCTGCATGAGCCACCAGTGCTCATAGCTGGGTGGAGAGATCTCGCAATGACGCGCGCCCAATGTTGGAATCGCTTTTATTTCAAGCTCGACAGACGTCATGAAGTCAGATAACAGGAAACAGCGAGCCATGAGATAGATGCCTTCGGAGTCCTGCGGTGCGAATGTGAGCGAGTTCCAAACTTTTGCCACGCCACTGTGGGCGCCACCCTGTAGCTTCTCATGCCCTCGGGTAAGTTTAGCACGTCCAGCGCCAAATCACGGCGGGTTAAGCACGACGGCTTCAGTTTACGTCAGACTGCGCAGCGCCCACGTTAGAGCTTCAACAGAGACGGCTGGTCTTCGGGTAGCGCCGAGTCCAAAGAGGGCAGAGAGCCAATATCGCTGGGGCCAGTGCGCATGTCCCGGCACGTGCTAAGAGAAGCACAAGCTTTAAGAAAACTGCGAAAGTTTCACAGCGATTCTAAGCAGCCATGAGGGTTGTCGACGACGGCGGCGAGAACATCCCGCAGGGGCAATCGCAGGCGCGTCCTAGGAATGTATAAAACGCTAGTTTTGAAGAAGCGATTGATGACGTTTTATTATCAGGTATGAATCCCCCAGCGACTATTGTGAATGGCTAAACATTTGTTCATCATAAAAGACGCCTGATGCGAAACACACGTGGTTGACATACTCTTATATGTGAAGGATGTACCATCGCATTCGTTTAAGCGGAAAACATACCTAACCCCAGTGTAACAAGGATTATGCAGCTTTTGCAGCCCTTTTGCAGCTTCGTCTTCCCGCAACTTAAGAGAGAAATCCTACGAGCATTCATTAGACAATGCTAATGAAGACTTTTGCAGTACTCAAGGCAAGACATCTAATACAATAGCACTTCCTCCAAGCAGACGATAAAATGGCGCATACTCAGATGACAGCATTTTTGGGCAGCCAGGTTCGCGCACTGCGGCAGAGTCCGCGCCGAAATTATGGCGCCAAACTACCGCCCGTGCCACATACACTGTTCACGCTGTCGTCAACCACAAAAGACATGCCCGTTCACAAAACACGACAACCGCCCGCCGTCGTGTCGCCACATCTCGCCGCGCCCCACTCCCCTCGGGGTCCACCTACCCCAGACCACGTCGGGCAGGCTCTGGCGGACCCAGACCGTGGCGGGGACGAGGAGCGGCCGGCGCTGGCGTCCCGCCCCACTCCCCTCCGGGTCGACCTACCCCAGACCACGTCGGGCAGGCTCCGGCGGACCCAGACAGTGGCGGGGACGAGGAGCGGCCGGCGCTGGCGCCCCGCCCCACTCCCCTCCGGGTCCACCTAACCCAGACCACGTCGGGCAGGCTCTGGCGGACCCAGATGGTGGCGGGGACGAGGAGCGGCCGGCGCTGGCGGGCGTCCCACTCCCCACCGGGTTCACCTACCCCAGACCACGTCGGGCAGGCTCTGGCGGACCCAGACCGTGGCGGGGACGAGGAGCGGCCGGCGCTGGCGAGCGCACCAGTCCACGGCGGCTGCCAGCAGGTGGCTGAGCGGCGAGTGCGCCTGCCCGGCCGCGTGGTGTAGCCAGATGAGCAGCTGCGGCGCCAGCTGGTCCGACCAGTCGCCCTCCAGCTCTGCCGGGGTAGGGGGGAGGAGGAGTGAGGATGTCTTGCGATACACTGACAAGTGGCTGCGGCACCAGCTGATCCGACCAGTCGCCCTCCAGCTGTGTCGTTAGAGCGGGAGTGAGAAGGGCACGTGATCTGCGCTGACTGGAAGCTAAGGGATCATGTGGTCTGACAAACCTGTAGCAATTTTCCAGAGACCCATGTACAGCCGCAGGACGTACGGCGGTGAAGGCCACAGCCCTGTATTTGCGTGGAAGCTTAAAAGGAAGGCTCCATCTTACAATGTATTTTGACATGCATCACATATGTTAGAATAAGCTCACTTGCATGACTGCTGGCATGCTTTCAAGAGGAAAAAAATGATTTCGAAAGCAAAATTTTTGTGATTAGTAAATACGTCGCTCAATATGTCATAGTTTGATCGCGTAATGGAAAGCTTGCATGATGTTGAGGTGCTGCCAAACTAACTGTGCGAAACTGCCAACCTAGCATTCACTTGTAGTACTTTATTCTTAAGAGGCGGCTGTGGCGGTGCGGGAAGTGTTTGCTGAACCAAACATTGTCATGTGTTCGGGTTTTTGTCCTTTCTCGTGGTGTTCTTGCATATTTGTCAGTTAGTTAATGGTGTTTACTTGTATTCACATGTTCAGTTTTTGCGCTATTTTTCAAGTACTCGATTACAAGTCTTATTTGCGTAATAACTAGAAACCATGTCCTACTACTTATTTCACATAGCACAAACATATTTAGTGGTTCAAACTCGCACAGCGTGCTCAACATTGTTTGGGAGCCAAATAACGTCTATCATATCTGAGCATCGTGCTCACGAACACCACGTATGAGCAACCAAACGATTGCGTTGGCTTTGAGCGCCGCGTTGCCAGTGGGGGGAGGGAGAGATAGAATTGGAATGGCGTTTCTATGTTGTCATGTATGCCTCAATGATCTTGAAACAGGCTGCACGAAATAGTCTGCCCATCTTCGCGGCGTATAGCCCAGAAACTAGAACGTTTTATATCTCAAAACGGGCAGAGTTGTGAAATGTACCAAATGATCTTCAAAATGACCATTTCAGTTCAAAACCCCATACAAGTGTGGAGTACAACACCCTTTAACCTACAACTAACACTTACAACTGCCTTTAACATACAACTCTCTTTAACTTAAACGCCACATTGCGGTACATGGAAAGAATGAGCTCGAAGGGATGATATGCCTTCCATTACGGAATGTTCCCACGCCACTAGTACAGTACACTTTTCATATTTTTGAATCATCCAGGACAAACGCTTGCTGAGCATTCAACTCAGTTTTCTAAAATAAATTAAATGAATAGCAAACGAATTACATACCACCCCGCGGAACTCTTGAACTCACCCTCAGTCTTGCGCAATGCGTGATGCACCAGTTCGGCCTCCCAGTCGAGGAACCATTGGCGCGTGGCGGCCGCCATCTTGTAGAGGTGGGCCGGACCGCGCATGCGTGCCGACTGCCACAGGTGACGGAAGTTGCAGAGCACCGTCAGCTTCAGACGCTCCACGTCACCTGCCATCACAGGCAAAGGGGTCGCCGAGACTTCACTGAGAGGGGAGTCACAACAGTTGTCTCTAGTGGCCACTAGGTGGCAAACAGGCGAGGCTTGACAGTGAAAACCTTGCTGAGAGGCGCTTCTGTTGTCACTTGGCCACCAGTGCGGAGCAGTGTAGGTATACTCGCGCGGGTTGATACATTTACTAGCGCTCAGCTGATCAACCACCAGAAAAGAAGGAACACCTTGCTCGCTCGTCGTCTGATCTCGCATGCTTCTTGCCGTATCGTAGAGATGTTTGCTGCGCAGCGTTGTTGCAATAACTTATAAATGCAATTTACAAAGTTTGACACATCATTAGGTGCGTCCATATCTTATATCATATCCGTGCCATGGGATGTAGACTCTCTCTCTCTCTCTCTCTCTCTCTCTCTCTCTCTCTCTCTCTCTCTCTCTCTCTCTCTCTCTCTCTCTCTCTCTCTCTCTCTCTCTCTCTCTCTCTCTCTCTCTCTCTCTCTCTCTCTCTCTCTCTCTCTCTCTCTCTCTCTCTCTCTCTCTCTCTCTCTCTCTCTCTCTCTCTCTCTCTCTCTCTCTCTCTCTCTCTCTCTCTCTCTCTCTCTCTCTCTCTCTCTCTCTCTCTCTCTCTCTCTCTCTCTCTTCTCTCTCCCTCTCTCTCTCTCTCTCCTCTCTCTCTCTCTCTCTCTCTCTCCTCTCTCTCTCTCTCTCCCCTCCTTCAAATAAATAAATAAGTGAATATATACATATATATATATATACTATATATATATATATATATATTATATATATATATATATATATTATATATGTATATATATACACATATACGTGCGTGCGTGCGTGCGTGCGTGCCTGCGTGCCTGCGTGCGTTCATGTGTGTGCGTGCGTGTGTGCGTGTGTGTGTGTGTGTGTGTGCATGTGTGTGTGTGTGTGTGTGTGTGGTGTGTGGTGTGTGTGTGTGTGTGTGTGTGTGTGTGTGTGCGTGCGTGCGTGCGTGCGTGCGTGCGTGCGTGCGTGTGGTGTGTGTGTGTGTATGGTGTGTGTGTGTGTGTGTGTGTGTGTGTGTGTGTGTGTGTGTGTGTGGTGTGTGTGTGTGTGTGTGTGTGTGTGTGTGTGTGTGTGTGTGTGTCGTGTTTTGGCGCCGCGCCAGGGGTGACGATAGTGCAGTGGTTAACGCGTCTGCGTTAACCACTGCGCATCTGGGAACCCAAAGGAACAGTGCTCGACTCCCGTGGTGCCTGCCCCTCCTGCCAGGGCGAGAGGCGGGCGACGCCATATAGCCTCAGCAGCTGAGTGCGTCATAAAGCCCCGATGGCGACGATGATGGCAGCGTCTGGCTGGCAGAGTGCGGACCCACCTGACCTGACCAGGTGGTACCACAGCCCGTCGGCCATCCTCAGCGACTGCAGCGCTCTCTGGTTGGCGCGAAGGCCCGGCCCGGTGACCTCGTCACCCTTGCCTGAGGGCAGATGGCCGGGTCAGACGCAGCTCGCCGCCAGATCCGCCCACGGCAAGGGCAAGAGCATCGAGCGGGCGAATCATACAACAGCGCGCCAAATGTCACCGCAGTGTGCCGTGGAATAACACGTAACAAGACGGAGCGCTGGAGGACGTTACGTAGTTACCCGGTTAAAACGGGGGACTGACACGACACAACATCATAACAAGGACTGAACGAGGGGCATAGTAAAACGATTAATCATAACGTGAAATAAACAGTCGCAACGGCATAGCAGAACGCTTCTGCACACACGGAAGGGTGCAACGTTATGTTGCGCAACACCAACACATCCCCCAGCGGCACCATACGATAATTACTCCGGTCAGAGAAACCTTCTCTTCAGCCGGGCATTGAGCTCATTCGAGACCTGCGACCTAGTGGTATTATTCATAAAGGCTCAAACCTAAACGCGTGGCACTGCAGATCCACATACATTCACGGAGTTCAGAAATGCTTCAAAAATATGCACCAGCCACTGGTAGGCCAAGCTGCGCTCCTCATTTCATATACACTATACCTGCATATCTATGCACGAATTAAGTCGTACTTCTTACTTTCACTTCGACATAGATGGAAAGACTGTAACACATTCACAGCGCATTATGTTTCTCAGTGTGATTTTAGGCTCGGCGTTTTCGTGGGGAATTAAGTCGCCAGAGTCGTGCAAAATGCAATGGGAGTGTCGTGCCGCTGCACGACCTCCGACGTTATTGCACGCCTGAACCCGTCGGTATTACTAATCAGGCCTACGGCTTCCCACATACCGGCCATGAAACCTCTGCACGCGGAGTGGCGCGATGTAATGCGATGCGCAGAGGACTCAAAAGCTCAAGAAGTTACAGAGCTTGCCAGCAGACTTTTCTCTGACATACGCGGCGGCCAGCTTCAACACCGACTTAAGAGTCTCTGGACTGGCCCCGGAAGGATGACCGTTTCGACGTAGACCGATTTCCTAACCCTGTTGTCGACATATCCGCCCGCTCAGGTGCCGGCTGGAGGACACCAAGCGGGCATTTCATTATTCCATCGCGACAGCTTAGAGCTTCTTGCTACCGCTATGACGTCATATTTAGAACGTCCAAATCTCTCACTTCAACAGGCAAATGAGGGTTCGTGCGCGCAGTGAATGTTTAGGTACATTCTGGTAGCATTTATGACAGTAAGCCATTGTCATGTGTGGAATTCTGTATGTTGCCGTCGTCGCCATATTCTTTGATGCATGTCTGTCTTGTTTTCAATTAGTACGTTCATTACACGTATTAATTCTATTCCGTGCGTGCTGTAGGATGTCATGCCATGATTGCAATTCTCGGGAAAAGAAAATAGCATTTACCTTGTAAGGTCGCTGGCCTATGGGGGCCAAATCGGCACGCGGCTATCAGCGAAGGCAATTCTTAAAGGGTCACTCAATATGGTACGACTACCAGGTGTTAGAAGAATCCATTCATCTTTGTGATGTTTTCTTGACAATTATGCAGCTGAATTTAAGATCACGACTGATTCCATTCATCTTGGATCAGGTGTAAACATCAGACCAAGGTCAAACCAGATTGCTCCTCTCTGGACAGCCTGCTTTGAGCTCTAACTGTTACGCTCATTTAACATTCCTTGATCACAGGAACGTTAACAGACACCTGATGTAGGCTAATGAAGGTCAGAGGTTACTGACCTACAACGAACCTCGATCAACGGTTGGTGAGAATATACTGCCTAGCGTAGTCACGCACGCTGATATCGAATTTCGACATCACGACAATGTCGAAGGGTTTTGGTCACCTTCACATCCTGAAGGTAAAATAACGCTACCAACCTGAATGAACACTAATGGCATTTTGTTTAGAAGGGCATCCAGGTTAAAGGCGGTTGCATGAGGAAGTCTGAAGGCACTTTGGATATGAATCTAGAGTTGACTTTGTTTGCCCTGGATATGATGACATAAGGCCTCAAAATTTGACACACGAGAGATCGCATACAGGCCAATTTACCCTGCGCATTTGGTGTCACTATCGCTCGTACTTTTGGGGATCTCAGAAAGTCAAATGTACGACCCTCTGAACGAATCGCATCCAACCTGTCTAACGGGCGCATGATATCTTTTGGACACTTTTATCAAAATTTTTAATTACTACGGTACTGCAAATTGTCTATGGTTAGATAAAAGGAATGAGATGAACCAAAGCCTGGGTGTTGGGTTGCCTTGTGAATACTAGCGACGTGAACTGCTGTATTTGTTCCTCTTTGGTCAACGGTTATGAGAGCCCGTTAGCCGGCCCCCGGTAAACCATCCCACCACGCACACTGCCGGGAGAACAGGGCCCGTCGCAGAAGAGGGCCGAGGCACACCACCTGGATGTCCAAGGGCAAGTCAGCATGGTACAGAAGGGACATTTTGGTGCTTCAGTTTCGTTTTGTGAAACGGACCTTATTATCTGAGCTTGGCTCCTTCCCAGATTCGCAGCTCCATGCGCCCCTGACTGTCCTGCGCATTTTCCGCAAAACGCTGCTGGCGTTTGAAGGAGGAGTTGGGGGGGGGGGGGGGGGGGGACCGGCGTGACAACGCCGCTCGCGATAGCACTGGGTAGCATGAAGCTGTCTACACGGGGAGTTCATACACTGCATGAATTAAAACACATGCTCTTTAGAATATATTCCTGTTGTCAGAACAGCCCGATGGAACTGATACAGCAAAGCGCCATTATACGGACGGAATGGCGGGGAGTGGTATGGTATGATAACACCATACCATACCATACCACTGGGCAGTGGTATGGAATGGCGGGGAGTGGTATGGTAACACCACACAGTGACAGGACGGTGGAATCGCTACAGGAGAGTATGATTGCACCAAATAGTGGACAGTTATGGCAGCAGAGCTGAGCAGAGTCCTAAAAACCTGGAAAGCATAATCTGCCGTCACCTTAGGAGGCGATTAATAGGATATGATTACTCATTATGATCATGGTATGAATAGCATAATTTGTAAGATTAATCAAGCTGGCATGATAACCCCAATCGATCAGAATCTGGCCGCGGCTGCTTCCTGTTCGCCAGTTGCCAGTGGCTACCAACGGCGGCTGGCTAATTTCATAGCCAGCTGATCGCTAATGGCAAATGCATGATCAAATAATTTATATCCAATGATTGTTCGATGCAGTCTGAATCTATATGAACGGGATTAAAGCACACCTTTATCTTCAATGATATGAATAAGTACTTAACCCTCGGTAATCAGTTAATCCTGTATCTATATGCCGTCGTCGCCGAATGACTATCTAAATTTACGTCACCGTGCTCCTAGGCCGCTAATTTCAACCACAAGTCAACAATTGACTTCCAACCTGTGTGCTTGGGTATGGGTTTACATGGATACGAGCACCAGATAAAAACGTTACTGTTTCGATGACGACGAAAGGGAACTCAACAATATCTCAACTTGCAGTGACCCCTATAGCCAACCACGCAGGAGCACATGAGACTGGTTTACGCTCAACAGAAGCGACATCTTTGCTGGGCATCCTCTGAGCCCGCGAGGTGAAAGCCCTCGTGCCTTCGTGAGGAGCCTTGGGCCTTCATGAGCCTCCATGCCCGGGGGACCGCCCTACGAATGACTAACCGTCTCCGATTAGGCCCCGGCCCCCGACACAGGCCCGCTTCATCACTCCGTAATCACCGCCAAGCACCGGCGCGCGAGCCGAGCCTGTCCGGGACAGCGACACGGGACAGGTTGACGTGGAGCAGGCGGCAATCCATCACGTCCCGGACAGCAGCCGGGACGCCGCTAGACAGGCGACGCCGCGCGCTCTCAGAGCGCCGGCGAGATAAAACGGCGCAGTGGCAGGCGACTGATTTTGTTCACGGTGACTGTGGGGCGTGGCGGGCAACTCCTGAAGCCGACGGGACAGGCTGCCGTCCGAAGGCTGGGGTCCGAGACTCGCTGCCCGCCACAGACGAGTGCACAGGCGGGCTGAGATGCGCTGCCCGCTGCCCCGCCTGGATGTGAGGCGGGCTGAGAGTGCACAGGCGGGCTGAGATGCGCTGCCCGCTGCCCCGCCTGGATGTGAGGCGGGCTGAGAGTGCACAGGCGGGCTGGGAGTGCTCATTCCAGCGCGCTGTGATGCGGACCCAGATAAGGCGAAATCCCGCCTATCGTTAACATCTCCGAGGATCCAAGTACTGTACGGTGTTGTAAGGATACAAATACAGTCCGATATGTGCAGCATGCTGTGGGCATTTATTCAAAGTTTATCAATGAGCATCATTCACACTCTCGCGGCATGGGTTGTATCCGCTAAGTAGCTACTCTTGGAGAATTCCGTCTCAATCCGTCTTTTCCACTACCCTGTCATTCATGTTTTCAGCACCTACTCGTGAACATCCCAGGCAACTGGTGCCTCGTGTCGATGACCCCAACCGAACCTGAGCATATCGCACACAACAAACCAATGAAAATCACAGCACAGCCACGTTAAAATGGCCAGAAGGCTGCGTTTGATCGCCTGCTAAGTATGTGCCGATTTTTGTGAGAAGATTTATAATCACTGCCCGGCCTGCAGCCCTACCAAAGCATCCTTGTATGTGTAGCGTGCGTTATAATGGAACAACAAGACTTCACGAGCCTTATGGGTGGGGGGCCCACCGTTTCTGCATGCTTTGCTATTCAACGTTAGGTGCCAGGCACGGTGTCTTAACTCAAAAAACCTGAGTTTAACTCCCAGTTGCGGCATATTCCAATCAGTGCAGGGAGCCCTGACAGTGGATACTGTGAGATAATTAATAAGTTCCTGTTTGGCCGACAATCGTGCTAATACAATAAACAGCCAGCAGCAGCCGAAAATTAAAGCGTGGCTTGTATTGGCATGATTTACGTAACTTTATCACGTTGTCTTACTAGGCTGCGTCATGTAACTTTATGCAGTCTTAAAATGGAGCTGTCAATCATTTGGCAACAAAATACTCTG